ATCAAATAAACAGATTAAAATGATCCCTAGCATCCAACAAAGCATAAGGTGGCACAAAACAGAATAATAACAACAACAACCCCAACAACAACAACAACAACAACAACAATAATAATAATAATAATATATAAACGAAAAATATAAAAACCCTTGATACAAAAAATTACTTAACGTAATTGAGCCAACGTGTAAGGCTAGTTTTTTTTTGATAAAATTTTCTACTTCTACCCGCAAATGGAAGTAAGTTTTGAATAACAATAATAATAACATGTTTCTTAGAGGAACATGCATTGTATTGAAAAACACGTAAATCTCTGCGTGTGGTAGGCGCGGATTTCTTTGCGGTCAAACTCGGTAGCCACAAACTTCATAAAAGTACATCATGTTTATACATCGTATGTGTGTTCATTTGTCTGTCTCAGTGTTTGTGCGTGTGTGTGTGTGAGTGTGCGTGCGTGTGTGTGTGTGCTAATAAAAAATACTTGACAACAACTGGCGTAACGTACGTCACCTGACACAGACCACTGAAACAATAACTACGTCATCAATCATAGCCCACAATAATTATGACGTCATGTCAAATGTGACTGCTACCACAACAGCCTAAACAACAACAACATCAACACTACAACCCTTGTTTAAATAATAATAACAATAACAACAACACAACAACAACGACATCAAAATAATAACACTTTATAAATAACAATAAGCAATAATAATAACAACAACAACAACATGACTATATACAGACATGCAGCTATGACATCAAAATTACAATAAGCGACATTAACATAAAGAATGAAAACAACAAAAACAATAACAACAACGTCAATGACATCAAAAATGAGCCATTGATCAACAACAACAACAACAACAACATCAACAACAACAACAAAACAAATAATAAGAGTTAGAAGAAAATTAATAATGCGAAACAAGGTCTTCAATATAGAGGTGATCAGTCAACGAAAAACTGACATAAATCTCATTTACAACAACAGCTATTGATAGCTTTGCTTGTGATGCTTTGTCGTTGGCTTTGTTACTGATGTCATTTTTTGTAATGTTGCTGAAACTCGCTGAAATTGATGTTATTGTGAATGTTACTGTGAATGTTGATGTTTTTAGTGCTAATAAAATACAGGTTGTCTATGTCACATCTTTTAATGACATTAAGTGTATAACAGCATCAACAATAACATTAACAACAACATCAACAATAACATTAACAACAACAACATTAACAATAACATTAACATTAACATTATGGTGTTATTGTTATTAATGTTAGCAACCTAGTTAATGCTATTTTAATAGTGTCATAGATGTTGTTGATGATGTTGTTGGCGGCCTTGCATTGTGTAATGATGTTTAAATAATGAGACCATTACTTTAACACAATTTTTCATACCGGCTTGGATTTCATTTTTTTTTTTAGAATTTTTCAATAAAAAATATTCCCTCTGCTTTATTTAATAATGATGTTTTTTTTAGATTTTATATTTTATTTTATATTTCATTTTTTTTTTGCATTTTTGTTACTTCTATGGATCGGCTACATACATTATACTTCGATTTCATTGAATATTCTTTAGAAAGCGTACACACATACATACAAACATAACCACACAAAGAAACGCGCGCACAAACACACACACACAAGAACTTACTCACACACACAAACAAATAAGCACACACACACACACATGACGCCTGCAAAAATCACCCTCCAATTGCAAATGGAGATTGTAATCAAATCGTCAACTTGAAAAAACACCGACATAAACAATAACATTAAGAACAGCATCAACAATAACATTAAGAATAACATCCATAATAACATTAAGAACAACATCCACAATAACATTAAGAACAACATTAACAATAACATTAACAACAACATCAACTATAACATTAACAACAACATCTACAATAACATTAACAACAACAACATTAACAATAACATAAACAACAACAACATTAACATTAACATAAACAACAACACATACAAAAACATTAACAAAAATATAAAAACTTAAGAAACAACACATAAACATACAGACAAACATATACACACATACATGCATGTATACATACACACATGAACATACACACATACTTACAAACATATAATTACACAAACTTTAAAAAATACACGCCAACAAATAAATATGCGTATGGCTTCATATTTTTTATTCTTCAGAAAATCAAGTCTGGCAGACGCAAAATTGTTTGTCATTACATGCTTTGGGAAAAACACACACGTACACAGACACACACACACACACATACAAACAAACACACACACACACGCACATACAAACACACACACACACATACATACATGAAACACCTAAACATTTATACTCACCACAAGACAAACAGTCTTATTCGGTCTCCGCATATTCAACTTCATAACTTTTATTCACTTATTTGATATGTTGTTGATTATGAATAAAACTTTGAATAAACTTTGTAAATACAAACAAACATTTATACACATATACAAACAAACATAGATATAGAAAACATAAGCATATACAGAGATAAATAAAAATGAACCAGGCAGTATGCATGCCTACGACAATATACGTCAATGAAGTTAGAACGATGTTTATCGTTTCATAAATGGCTTTTGTGGGGCGCGAAATGGAGCTTATGGACGTCAAGTCGTCCAATTATTAACATTAAACTAAACTGACGAGCAAATTTAGCAACAGTTGAGATGGTAGAAGCGGCGGTGGTGGTGGTAGAGGTGGTAATCGCGTTGATCGTGAATACAAAAATGATGATGATGGTGGTTATGAAGATGACGATAATTTGGATGATGATGATGACGACGACGACAGTGATGATGACGATGTGGATAATTATGATGATAACGATAATAAGATATTGATGATGATGAAAACTTTGATGATAATGATGATGATGACGACGACGAAGATGACGTGTTAATATTTCATTAATGTCGTTATTGTTGAATATTGTTGTTAACCTGACAATAAATCTTAAAATGGTTGTTGCTGGGTAGTCGAACGAGCTCTCAGCAAATCAGCAAGAAAAAATTAAAGTATGAATTATGAGTTATTGATTTGTTTAAGATTGAAATGAAAAAATAGAATTCAGCTAAAAATAGCAATATCAATAACACAAGTGTTTCATCTTCGTTGTCGTCGTCATTGCCAGCCAACAGAATCATCGTCACCATTACAGCAGCAAAACAAAAAAATGAGGCCATTGCAGTAACTACAGAAGCAACAACACCAGCCACCTAATCGCAATCTTACGCTGTTGAAGCACATCAATCATGAATAGAGCATCTAAGACATGAATTTTTTAAAGAATAATCTTTCTAAAAATGTTAGCAAAGAATACAAACTAAATGCCATTTTTTATACCGTACCGAAGATGAAATATTGCTAATAAATTTTTATTTTTTACTCTCATATCAGTACGCACGCACACGCAAATTTTACACAAGGATGGGCAAACACATGCACGTGCAAGCACACAAAAAGACAGACACACATACACGAAGGCATATGCATGGATAAACGCAGTGAATACAATACAATACATAAACAAACGCTCATACAGACATAAAAGTTTTTAAAACACACGCACATACGTACATACACACGCACATACACACACACACGCACATACGTACATACACACGCACATAAACACACGCACACACGCAAACACATACAGACATTTTTTTTGTTCTGGACTCAACTGTTGACAATTAACTGAGCACTAATTCAACGTACATATATCGCTTTTCCTAAGTTCATGATGATGATGATGATGATGATGATTATTATTATTATTATTATTGTTATTTGTTATTATTATCATTTTCATAATGCTAATTAATGTAATGATGACGATGATGATGTTGATGTCACTACGACAATAATAACAACAAGATAACAATAATAAAATGTTCCTCCCTTCTTCATCATCATCATCATCATCATCATCTTCTTCTTCTTTTTATTATTATTATTATCATCATTAATGCAATAATAGTAGTAATAACGATAATAATAGCAATTTATTTATTTCATATAATATAATACAAATGATCAGTTTTTGTTTGGATCTTTTGAGCTGTTACAATAACTGGAAGATGAAGGTGAAAAAGAAATTCATTTTATTATTGTTATCTTGTTGTTATTATTGTTATGTTGTTGTTATTATTGTTATGTTGTTGTTATTATTGTTATTTTTTTGTTATTATTGTTATCTTCTTGTTATTATTGTTATCTTCTTGTTATTATTGTTATTTTCTTGTTATTATTGTCGCAACAAAATCATCTTTTCCATCATCACCATAATTGCATCAATTGATTTTGATAGTCATTAATGTGGCCTCCAGATCATTTCATTTCTTTCCATGATTCGCGATTCTGTCTGGTTCGATTTTATGAATAAATTAAATTGAATTTATCTGAATGTAATAACCATTAATCAGACTTATTACTTATTCAGTATCATTATCTATAATACCCTATTATTATTATTATTTTCATTATTATTATTATTATTATTGTTATTGTTATTATTATTAAATTATTGCTGTCATTATTCCAATGAATGCATGTAATTAAGTTAATGTTGCCATCGGCTTTTGAATCATCATTAATGTTATCATTGCCTATCATCACCATCATCATCATCTTTAGTGTTGTAAGAATAATAATACTAATAATAACAATAATATTAATAAAAATAGTAAAGATGATAATGACGATGATGTGCTTTTATTACACTGTTGTGTTTGTTGCTTGTTATTCAAGTAGTTGTTTTTTATTGCTGTTGTTTTTGTTGTCGTTGTTGTTGTTGTTGATTATAAATGTTTTCCATTAAAAGAGGACGTGCCATCAAAACAATCCTAGTATTTTATCTATGGTGTGAAAAATTGAGGTTTTAGCCGGGCTGTTGGTTCTTTGTTTTTGTTATGTTGTTCCTTTGTAATTACGATATGTATGTATGTATGTATGTATGTATGTATGTATGTATGTATGTATGTATGTATGTATGTATGTATGTATGTATGTATGTATGTATGTATGTATGTATGTATGTATGTATGTATGTATGTATGTATATGTATTTATGTATGTATGTATGTTGTTGTTGTTGTTGTTGTGTGCCACTAGTGTGATTAATATTATTAAAAAATAATGATGATGACAAATAGGATTATACAAGATAAGAATAGAAATGCAAAAGTGATGATGACGATGAAGATGATGACTAAAAGACAATCTAAACGATAATGATATGATGGTGATGATAATTTTAGCGACAAGATGTTGTTGCTGATGTTAACGCAAAGTCGCCGAGACAAAATTGATTCGGACAGGGTAGAAACATGTCGCCAAGTTTTATTGGGGTCAGGCTGCTTTCGAAGCCGCTAACTCTGTCACAACTCTTGCAAGCTCACAGACAACTACCAATGATTCAAAACAGATTAAGACAAACTAAATGAACAACATCATGGTACAAAAATTACATTGGTAAAATTATTTATCGCCAGTATTCAAGTTTATTACCGCACGCTTTTAAAAAAAACTGAAGTTTTCACAAATACATCAACCACGCAAACAGCTTAATAAATGACACCAACAATAAGAAAGAACAAACTATATTAAGTCAGTAATACAACAACAACAACAACAACGACCAACAACAACAACAACAACATTAATAACAATAGTATTAATAACAATGGGCAAAAATGACGTCACGTTACGTAGCTGGATATAATTATTTTTACTTATAACTAGCTGATTTATACGGAGCCCATCCAACCATCCATTGTTCACGTTAATAATTGTTATTGTTATTATTGTTATTGTTGTTGTTGTTTTTGTTGTTATTTTTATGTACTACTCTATCATCATAGTACTCATTTTAAAGTGAAAAAACAGAGACGCTAGTTTTAGGATTTTATCGATTTTATTGAGTTAATATTATTTTATTTAATATAACATAATTAGCTATTATTATTATTATTATTGTTGTTGTTGTTGTTGTTTGCAATAATTTGTTGCACACAGCACAATCTTACCAGAAGCATTCGCTTTTCTGCGCTGTTTAACACCGTCGTTATAATTATTGCCGTCACTTTGATCCCATCAACAACAACAACAAAAACAACAACAACACCATAACAACAACAACAACAAAAATAATAACAACAAAAATAATCATAATGATAACATTAATAAAAATAATAATGACAAAACCAATAAATATAAAAACACCCTAAAAAACAGCAACATCAGCAAGAATATCGACAAAAAAAATAACATTAACATATTAGACAACAGAATCAACATCAACAACAACAAAAGTATAAATGATGACGTCATTGTCAAAAACAACGTCATCAACATCATCACGTGACTATAACCAAACTACCTCCTTGATTGTACAGTACAAGCCTCTGGCTAGCGGAAGCAGACAAAACAAAATTTCCGCGGGTTATCAAAGACAACAAAAAGATATCATTTCATTCCCATGCATAGATACTTTTATTTAATTATTTTTCGCAATTCTGCGTTTGTCTAAGTGTAATTAATAGTTCTATGTATTTCAGTGTTGTGGATTAATGCCAACAATTCGGTAGAATTCATACAATACTGTATAAAATATGGTCTTCTACCAATTTATATAGTGTATGTGTATGTATGTGTGCATGTGCATGCTGATGGGTGTGTATAAATCATTATATATATGTGTGTGTGTGTCTTTGTATATGTTTGTATATATATATATATGTGTGTGTATGTATGTGTGTGTGTGTTTGTATGTTTGTGTATGTGTCAATCAAACAATCGAACAAAACACTGTAAAAATTTATCTTATAAATAGCGATGAAAAAAATGAATGAATTAATCAGTCAATTATTTTAAATGGCGGAAACCATAATGCGTAAAAAATTAGTTTCCATGGTAACAGAAACGTAACGGTTGTCATGGTAACCGAGAGACGGAGGCGGGCAACGTTGATTGGTTGTGATTGTGTTTGCAGACGCGGTGGGGAGGTTCTGATTGGCTATCAAATGCAAATAAATTCCATTTCTTTCAATGTGATGATGGCCGTGATAACGATGAGGATGATGACGAGTAGGAAGATGGTTCGGTGCTGATGATAGTAGTGCTACTGCTGCTGCTGTTGATGATAATGATAATGACGATTATTATTATTTTTGTTATTTTTATTATTATTACTATTATTATTATTAGTAGTAGTAGTTATCGTAGGTTTGTGATGATGATGTTGATGATTATGACGATGGTAATGATGTGGATGATTGGTATTATGATTATAAGGATGTTGATGATGATGCTGATAAAATAACTTGGTGATGAGATATTTAAGATGGAGGCGATGATGATGGCGACAAAGAATCAATATGAGAGTTAGTTATTTTTGTTTTAATAACTATAATAATATTATATTAACTATGATAACAAAACCGTAGAATGAGAAAAAGTGACTACTTGAAAGTTTTTTCACAGAAATCAAACGAGTATTTAAAAATTAAATGAAAAATGGAAAAAATACAAGAAATGTAAACAAAAGATTTTTAAAAGTATACAAAGGAAAAGGAATAAGGAATGTCTGAAGTGAAAAATGAGGTAGAAGATGAGAATGAAGAGATAAGTGAAGAGGAACAAGATATAAATCAAATAACAACTTCCACACCAAACAGATACACTGCTGCAACTACTGCAGCTGCAGCAGCTTTTGAAACTACAGCAGCCACCGCAGCCACTGTTGCAGCTACTGTAGCTACCACAAAAACTGCAAACACTGCAACTTTTTCAACTGTGGCCTCTTTTGTAACCCGTTATGTTTGGTTGTCAAAATTCATCATTTTTAACAAATGTTCATTGATGTAAATTGCAGGCATCACATTTTTAGTGAGACTATTTTATTTTGCACTTCGTACTCTATCCATTCCATTGTTTCTAGCATAATTTTTATTGCATTTGTTATCTGCTACGCATTCATTTGTAATATTATGACGTCATCAGACAGTGTGACGCAATAGCAAATGAAGCGTATGCAGTGACGTCAATAGCCACGTGATTTTGTGATAGTCAATGCCGATGGCTGTTTCCCTGTGCGTGCGAGTGTGTTTTTGTGTGCGGGCAAGTTTCGCGTGTTCGCAAGTGCAAGCCAGTGTATTTACTTTTAACCTGCTGTAAAAATATTTTTTGCGTATAATTCAGTCTAAAAATAAATTGAAACATTTTTTCTTTAAAATTTTTTATGAAAAACTTTGAGTTCAGCTAAAAAAATTTAGTTCCGACATGTTAAAAAATTGCTCTGTTTTTTTGTTTTATTTTTTTGGTTTGCATTAATTTGAAAAATGAGAAGGGCAGAATTTTTGATAATGTTTTTGATTGAGGTATTTGCTGCTGCTTTGTTAAGACGTGGCTTCGATGCAGCCAAAATAGTTGGCGCAACGTTAACAAACACGTAAACATCAATAACCACAATAAAATTTTCAAACCGGTCTACAATTTCGCTGCACACGGACTAAACTCAAATAAGACTTCTTATGAGCTGCAACTACGCAGATATTAATTAACAAGATATGCAACAAGTTGCATGCTGATGCAACTAGTTGCATGCTGATGCAACAAGTTGCATGCTGCCATCAATCGAGAGTAAGACAACAACATCATGACATCAGCAACATTAAAAACATCGTAACATCAATAACATTATAAACATCATAACATCAACAACATTAAAATCACCACAACATCAACAGCATTAAAAACTGCAACCACACACGGCTGACACAAATCTCTTCCAAACGCATTTTTATATTATTTTTCTCAATTTTCATAATGACGTCATAGGGTTACCAGCAATAAATAAATTATCTCCAGTCACTGTTGAATGTGACATTAGGACATGTTTGCTGGAAACTATTGAAACTATTGAAAGAGCACGTATGCTGGCACGCGACGCGTTTTGAATATGAATAAAAAGATACTGTTTGTACCGTTTTGTGTGTGCCATGTTAGCAAAAACATGTTGTTTCTAGTCAGAAAATTTGTAAAAACTATGATCTGCCTATGGGCTGTTGAAAAAAATAAAAAAAAACTCATTAAATTTCCTTTGCTTTTTTCAGTCAGCATCAAATGCTTCAAACCAAATTTGTGCACGGTGTTTTTTAAACTGTTTGCTAATAGATTATTCATTACACTCCTCGATTTGGCAACTAACTAATTAAATACACAATACAATACAATATTTTATTCGACCTCAAAGAAAAATAAAGGTACAGGACTACTGTAGGGAGTCTTTAAGAGACTCATCGTGCACAGTACAGTGCACAATAAATATTATATCGCAAAAACAATTATAAACGCATGTAAAATTTTTTAATTTGAAAAAAAAACACGACAACATTATATGGCTCTGATATTTACTGGAAATTAATTGCTGGAGACTCGAATAAAATTCTAATTAACAGAAATTTTAACTATAAAATAAAACTCCCGTTGAAAGTTTCAAGCAGAAATTGATACCACCATCATCTGATGACTTATAAATTTTAAAACTTAAATTTAAACAATTTTAATCTTAAATTAATAACAGGATATCCGAACTAAATTGTCAAAATTTTTATTTGATACTTTAGTAAATTCTCGAAAAAATTGAAATGTTATAAAAATTAGATTTGGACAGAGTCATTTCCACAATCTCATCTAACAACTATTTATTCTCCATAAACTGGTTCTACTTGAATCTTGTTTCTTCTCCTCTTCCTTTCTTTTTCTCAAAGCAAATAAACAATCTTATTTTTATTTTATAATTTTATTTACAAAAACGGCCACCAAACTGTTAAGAAAGATTTAAAAAATAAACCAGAAATAAAATTTGAAATGGCACATGCAGGCATACATCAAATTATTAACATTAGCCTGATGATGTAGTACATTAAATTAATTATTCCCATTAATGTCAGGCTTTTCATCAATATTATTAATTATGTGTTCCATCATAATTTTGGCTGTCGTTTTGGTGATAATATTGATCATAATTCTTCTAATGATTTCATCAATATTTCATTATTATTTCTTTTACAGTTCTCTTTTCAATATTTTCCAGAAGCATCGACAACAAATACACTGTGCATTTAAATACACGTGGAACAACCCATCACGCATTGTATGTGATAAGCGGGGATATCTTTGCAATCGAATGCGGTCACTTTAATAGCAGTGCCAGGTACTTTACCGCTACACCATCGCGGTCGTTACACTATCTTCGTATGAAGATACAATTACATCGTCATCGTCACCATCACATACAAAAGACGAATCATGTATGTAATAAAGCAGCATAAAACCTACACATAATTTCAGCGTTATTTTGACAAAACGACGTCTTCTACGTTCCTAAAGTGTTCTCAAATGTTCTCAAATGTTCTAGAATGTTCTGGAATGTTCTGGAATGTTCTGGAATGTTTTATAAACGCTCTAATGCTTAAGTCTCTTGAGGACTATTATAAGAAAAAGTAGGCTCGTTTAATACGGAGAGAATTCGTGTTGGTTCCCTGAATGAAATATAAGTAGTTAGTTTATTTATTAGTACGTGTGCTTCTCTCTCTGCGTTTGCGTGTATTTGTTCAAGTGTGTGTGTTGTGTGTCTGTATGTGTGTGTGTGTACAAATTTGCATGCATATGTCTGACGTTTATTCTTCAAATGTGTCTGTACATGTGTCTGACTGTAAGCTTGTGCGTGTGTTTTCGTTATGTTGATACTTGAGTATTTTACGTGTTAGCACGTGTGCGGCGTGTGTGCGGCGCGTGCGTGTGCGTGCGTGTGTGTATGTGTGTGCGTTCGTGTGCGTGTGTGTGTGTAGTCATACGTGTGAGTGAATGCCTGAGGTGCATTGTCATCATTAATGAAGAACAATGTCGACGACCATGGTAATTATGACGTCATGAATGATAACAACCGAAACAACATTTCTTGGAAAAAATATCAACAATAAAAACAAAAAAAAAAAAACCATTAAGTTTTTAAATGGCATCAATTAAGTCAACACCATATTTTAAACAACGTTGCCAATCAATCATTAGGATTAATGTTACCAATTAATTAACATAGTTAATGTCACCAACTAATTAACATAATTAATTTTACCACCTAACTAGCATAATTACCAGAATTATCTCTACTATGTTGAAATCAAACCAAATCATCATCATTTGTAACATCATCATCATCATCATCGTCAGTCACTCAAACCATCCATCAATCAATCAATGAACTAACACAAACGACCATAAAATACACATACACACACACGCGCGCGCACAAAACCACGCGCAAAAAAGCACACAAAAAGTACACTTCAACACGCACACAAACACGTACTCAAACATGCACACAAAATTACAAAAAAAGTTCTCACAAACACACTAACGCACACACACACGCACACACACACATACGCACAGTCCAACACTCAAACTTCCGCTTCGTTAGCCTCAAGACTGCAAATGGAACCTCTGGGTGCCTGTTGCAACACTGTAACAATACAAAACATTGCAATGCAACAACATAACAGAGAACCACACACACTCACGCACAACGCACACACTTAAATTTACACGCACACACATACACTTACACACACACACACGCACATAATATGCAGTATTAAAAGTTCAGTATTAAAAGTTCGAGAGTTGAAGATATTGTATGAAAGCAGAACAATTAGGACGCAAAAATCCGCTGGCACATTCAATTAAAGGATGGGGCAAACTTTTCAACCGCA